TGTATCAAACTGTTGTAAGAAGGATAAATTCAAAAGATTACTGCCATTCAATGAGACCTGAAAGTGAAGTCTTTCTACAGACAAATCCAAGACTTCCTCAATTTTTAAAGACAGTTGCAGAACTAGCTTTGCAGGACTGCATGAAAATACATTGTACAGCTTGTGAACATTCCCAAAATACCTTTTGATCCAGGGTCCTTCCCATGGCATGGGGTCCCATGGCATAGGCTGAAAAAGTGTGCTGTGCAAGGTGAAAATAATGCCTTAGGGTTTTCATTTTTAATCTTAGCTTTCACATTCTGCAATTTCCAATTTATCTGAAGCCGTTCTGCATCTCTTTCTTATTCTTGGCTAGCACTTTCTTGATCCATTCTGCAATATCTTCTTGTTTCTTTTTATTGCAGTCTACCATTTTTAGGAAATTTCCTGAACATACTATTTCCCAGCTTTCTCATGTACATATTGCAAGAAAAGTATCAACTCTTTAGTATGAGAGATATGTGAGTCCCATCCACAATGCATTCATTTTGCAAGAAAAATAAGAACCACTCTCTTAGTACACATCTCTAAAAACTCATTCTGGCTACGCTAAAAGAAATACATTTATTTTATCCTGTATAGAAAAAAAAATGCTGTCAGAAATAAAATTCTTGCAGAGGTCTATTATAGGCTTAGTAAATATTTAATGATTGCAACTAAGACATTAACCAAGCAAATCGGCTGTTACATTTTTTAATACATCATAACCCTTTCCAATGCCTATGCTTAAAGAATTTTAGCCCTCCTGTCTCCAAAACCAGCACAAAGAAGTAGTAAACAACATAGTACTAATCATATAATCACATCGGAATAGATGACCAGAAATTATTTATGAAGCAATATCTATTTATCTATTCATTCATTCATTCATTCATTCATTCATTCATTCATTCATTTGATTTGGATGCTGCCCGACTCCAGCATGTCCTTTACGGAGTCAGCTTAAAGCAGGCTTGAAGGAGGAATTGTTTGAGGCCCACCTATTGGTCAAATCTAAAAAGCCACTACTGAGCAAGTCATTTCTCAAGTGCATGGCACAGTAAATCTTATTTATGAGCAGGGTTTTATGTTTGACAAGTAACCTAATCCAAGTTGTAAAGAACTTCAGGTATTTAAAAAAAGTCTTCATTATTTTGCTAATGATGACAGAGAGAGAATTTAATGATATTCCAGTCAAAAGCAAAGATAAGCAATGCTCATCTTGTAGGTAGATCCAGAACCTCACAAAGTCTTCCACATCAAATAAAGTTACTCAAGTTATTAAATATGCAAAATCTGGGGGAAGAATCACCACGTTTAAACCTTTAATCTGGAAAAACAAGTCATCCTGTTTAAACAGAATGATTTCATTATTTATGTGATGGAATTCCATACGCACAAGAAAATATTCTACAGTAATGGAATGTTTCCATTGCTACATCCAGCGGCTGGTAGATTCCACCACCTGCTTTGAATCTGAATAGCTTGATCTCAACCTGTGGAACCCTAGAACATTAGTAGTAATGTAGAGGAGTTTATTACTAGAATTAGCAACCAACTGGGGTTGAAGTGTAGTATAACAGCACCATCTAAGGGCCAAGTCAATAATTGTTCTGTAAGAATGTCATTAATAGAAGAATCACACTTTGCTGCCACACTGATTAGGCACTTTTGTTCGCATTTAATTTCATGCCTTACTGCTAGCCATTTCCCCCTTTTCATGACTCTGTGCATGTCCATATACATGCAGGTCTGCATGCAGATGCACACCTCTACCTCCCAATTCAGGACAGTGCTTCAACCAATCAGAAAAGTGAATTGTACTCCACAACACTGGTACCACAGACTTAAAGACATCACAAATCAACAAAAGTGCATTGCACTGCTAGACATTGTTACCCAATAGAAGCTGAAGCAGTTTTCTTGGAGTTCTGCATTTACAGTATATATAGTCTATTAAGCAGATGTTTTGTTTAACTAAACCCCAAACTCAAAGTGTTAATTATTATTTATACATTTTTGTTACCAAGCTTCCACTTGCAAAAGATGAATTTCATACAGTGTTATTGCAGGACTGGACTATTCTAAAAACCTGGAAAAGATACTGTCATTTACCATTTCCTCGTCTTAGAATTCCACTGCCTGTCTTTCCGAAGTTCTCTTGCTGTGGTTTAAGGACTCTGCAATTTTTCCAGCTAAACTGTTACTTAAAGTTCCATAACCATCTTTCACCAACAACATATGGAGGAAATTCTAATACTTCATGATACTGTAATAAACCATTCAAAAAGCTCAGGGAATGGCTGAAAATATGCATCATTTCTATCATAAGACCTAGTTAAAAGAAAAACTCTAGACCAAAAAAAAATGGTGAGCAGATCCTGTTTGTCCCTAGACTCTGTACTGAATTACAGTATTAATTCAATGCTTTAGTAGTGGAATATTTTATATTTTAGACTGTTATCGATACTATAATTTCTGTTTTGTAATGTGTTTTAAATCAATTGTGTTTCACTTGAGAGCAAACATATTTTCTTTTTCTTATGAAAATTGGTACCTAGTGGGAGATTGGAACCGAGTGGTGTACCCACAATTAGATAGAACATCAGACAAGCAAGTGAAAAAGAATCAGGGTAAATCACCTAAAATATTTTTTGATTTGATAGACAATTTATCTTTAGTGAATATATGGAGACAGGAAAATGGTACCTCTAATATATATACCTCAACTATGCTTATTTGACTTGGACTCTTAAAAGAAAATCTAATTCTTGTAGATGCAGACTAAATGAAATGTTGCTACAAAAGGAAGAAGTACTAAAAGATTGTAAAAAAAAAAATGGAATTTTTTGAGAACAATTTAAAGGTATGGACCTGAGAATGGTTTGGGATGCAAGCAAAGCTTTTATTAGAGGATATTTCATACAGCATAACACTGAGTTTAAAAAGTTTAAAGGTATGGACCTGAGAATGGTTTGGGATGCAAGCAAAGCTTTTATTAGAGGATATTTCATACAGCATAACACTGAGTTTAAAAAGAGGAATCAAGAAAAAATGCAAGGTATCTTGGATGAGATAAAGAAGAAAGAGGATGAATGAAAGTTACCACCACAAAAGTTAAATATTTCAAACCAAATTAAGCTTTTACAGCAACAGCTATCTATGTTAACAGTGAGAGGATTAGAAAAAAGATGAGCTACGCCAAACAAAAACATTCTGAATTTGCAAACAATCTGGGGAGATACTTGGCATATAAATTAAGAAAGGAGAAAGGAAAGAAAATGATTACGAAACTTCAAGAGGGTGATAGTGGGATATAATGGACAATGGGACTATACGGGACCAAGCATATTTGCTCACTTTTTTGTGTTTATGATATCAAAGTGACAGGAACCATATTATTTTCTTCCTAAAATGGCATCATACAGCTTTCCAGATTTCTTAACTTCAATCTCCTTGAAACCACTTGCCGTGAGGAGCTTGCTGTACTCTGCCGGTGGCCGTTCTTTTCCTTCAGTGTGAATGAGCATATTAAGGGAATAGAGCTGACTCTCCAATGGCCCGTGTTTATCCTCATTCAGAAGAGTTTCAATTAGTAAAACACCACCACCTAATTGGAATATTTAAAGAAGTCATGAGTCCAATATTATCTTCCGCCATTACAGGTTTATAACTGCTTGGGACAAATTTTCTGCAACAGTTTATCCTAGCATGGCAGACTTTGTAAGGATTGGGAAACACTGTATACAAAACAGTGTCATCGAAATATATTTGACACACTCAAATGCATGTCAAAAATACAATGTGCAACTATAATGTGCGGCCAGGCTGTTATCATGTACATACCCGTTTTGCAAGACTTTTGCACTTTTGTGAGAAGTTGCACACATTTTTCATCTGACCAGTCATGGAGGATCCTTGCTAAAATATACAGCTCGGCTTCCGGGAGAGGATCTTTAAAAAAATCCCCTGTTAGAAAAATTGAAGGGGAAAAAAACACAACAACTCACCAGTGAACATTGATTTCTCATTAATCAAACACTGAGGTTTTGTCTGTTTTTGTTTTTGTTTTGTTCTATATGGCTTTAAACCCATGGGCTTGCTAACTGGAATATCTGTCTGGCTTATGAAAAAGCAGTTTTCTCTGTCATGAAATAACAGTTTTCCCTGTGGAAGCTGGAGCAAAACTGCCGTGGTTCCCAAGACCAGAGTTGGTTGCCCTGATGTTCCTTTTTCAAACTATAGGTTACAACAGTTAATTAAGGCAATTCTAAGGGTTGAATTATCTCTATTTGGTTTTAAAAGTGAATGCCCATTGTCTAAATTTTAGTGTTCAGAAAGAATAATGGCAATTTTTAAATACTTAACTATTCAGATCATTCAGTGAATTCAAATATATTTATTGAATTAAACTGAAATTAAGAGTAAGAAAGTAAAAGGTTTACTTTTGAATGTACCTAGAGCATCACAGAACCTTGAATCCAAATGTGGGGTTGTATGTGGGAATGACCTTGAGAGACAAGAAGACGACCTGTTGCCTAGGCAACAGTCTTCCTCCTATCTCCCAAGGTCATTCCCATACACCATCACAAAATGTCGCATTCAATGCATGAGGCTCAGGGAAAGGTCCTTCACTGATTCCCATTCCTCTGGGGAAGGTAATACAGGTTGTCTCTCTGCAGAGAAAGGAGATGGAAATAAAGAAAATGGACTAGGTGTCCATTTCCTGAGCCCAGAAAGGAGATAAGCTACTCTTGGGTTTATTTCCTAGCCCAGACACTCCTGTAAGAGGCACACAGGAGTAAGAGGAAGCCATTTCCACTTAGGGCTGTGATCCCTGACACATGGACCCCAGGAGGAATTCAGAAGGCAATCTGAATTGCCTTCTGACTTTATTCTATGGAGAAGAAAGAAAGTTTTTAATAAGAAATGCCTTTCTCCTTTCCCAAAAAGAACTACACTAACCTTCATAAAAATTGATCCGATGTTCCTCTGCAGATACAAAATGCTTCTTTGCTGTTTGAATTACTTTAGGGAGGTCAAAAATAGTGACTGTACAATCTGGATACAGTGAAACACATTCCTGAGCCAAAGCCCCAGCACCTCCTTTTGAAACAAAAATAAAAGACACATTCAACCATACATAATGCACATCTGTCTCATGTAGCTCTTTTTGCTCTTGGATGCAACAACCCCTGTCAGCTGAGGATTAGTAAGTTATACATGATTAGAAGTATTCTTTCAGCATAAAGAAGATTTTGTGTGTACAGTTTGTACGTATGTGTGTTTCATATTACAGATTGGGGATTGCAGTTGTTTTTATTTTTTTGAACTTAAGAGAATGTTGGAAATAAATTATGTAAAGGTGGTCAGTACTCTGTCTGTTTATCGGTCAGCAGATAGGGCTCCATAAAACAGAACATAACAAGACCCAGATTTAGTATTGCAGGAGCAAGTGGAAACAGAAAGACTCTGTTGAATATGTCATTGCTTGCAACTCAGAACTTAGAGCCAATTTATAAAATCAGCACCCATATTTTGCTACTTTTATTTAGCCCATCCTGTGCCTAAAAACAAAAACTGTTCCTCCAAAAAAGCAAAGGGCCAAATATTTTACCATCTGTATATGTAATCAGGAGGGGGAAAAACATTCTTAAGGAACTTACCACCAAGATCACAAATCACAGTGAATGGTGATAGATCAAATGCAGTTATCACATCTCTGCCACATAGGCTCCAAGTTGCATTCAATCCATACATGAATTTCACCATTTCCTCTTCTGATCTAGATAGTAGAGATCATAAAAAGCATTAGTGTTATACAAGAGACACACAAGAACAAATCTTATCACATGCATGAACTAATTATTGTAATACTGTCCTTCTAATTAAAGTCTTGGTTATGCTTCAATACTCAGTGGAAGAACACATCTCAGATTAAGAATCAGATGGATTTGTTGCCTCTTCTGTATGTCCCTTTTCAGAATTTATATGTATTGAATCTTCCAAACTTTTAACACCAAAGAATAAGCTAGATTTTTCTTAAATGCAGGATGTTTTTTTCTTAAAAAGAGGATAGTGTTATGGATATTTGTTTTCTAAGACTAAAAACACACTATAAACTAATGTGATAGTTACACTGCACATCTGATGTTTTTAATGGACCTTAACAACAGCCTTAATTTCTATAAAAATAACAGCATTTGAGAAAACAAGAAATAAACAGTACAAGGTTCTATGAAATTAACAAGGGGATTTAAAAATATTTTATCAGAGGTAATATCTATCATTTTCCTTTTAATGTTATTATGTGGAAGCGTTACCTGTATAGAGCTTCAAAAACAGCTTTTGATGAAATGCCAAATGCTCTCTCATATTGGTTCTTGCCTTCCCTTGGGGGAAAAAAAACATCTTCGGATATCTGGCAGCTTTTCAAGAGTCAGTTAAAATTATGTAGTTCTGTTGACCTTAAGAAAAAACTCATGCTGAAGACTGTGCTAGGAATTTTTGAAATAAGGCTATTACAGATCATACCATTGCTTGAAGACAATGGATTGTATGCTAGTATGCATGGGGGTTTCTATTTTTATACATACTGTAGCCATTTGCAGGATCACATCATATGACAATCAGTGATGTGTGTCAGTGTGGAAAAGTGTGTTAGGGACCACATCCTTGCACTGGGATAGCTCTGTTTGCGGAGTCCTTGGGGTTCTCTGAGCTTGGTTGTTTTCTTGCAGACATTTCATTACCCGGCTAGGTAACATCTTCAGCATATTACCTAATTGGGTAAT